CCGGGTGGAGAGAGGGAGGGCAGGGAGGCGTTGCTTGTGGAAAAAAAACCCCAGGTCGGGCGATTCCCTCTGTGGAAAGCTTCCTCGGAGATGCTCGTAGCCGCTCCGAATGCGTCACCAGAAGCCTTGCCATCTCTGGGAAGCCCGCTCTTGCTGTTGCTCACGTCCAGTTGTTGGATGAAGCGGTGGGGCAGGGCCTGTGTTGCCAACAGGAAATCTATTCTCCCGTGTCTTTTGCCAGGCAGACTTTTGAAATCAGGTGCCAGATGGGTCCTGGCAGGGCTTGCTGTCTGCGTCAGGTGTGGGATCCGCTAGCGTTCTGACAGCGGTGAAACCCCGCGCTTGCTTGGCTCCCCGTACTCGTGACTGGTTTGATCAAATGCAGGGCACCGTTTTCGCTGGGCATAGCAGATCGTAGGTAAAACGCGCTTCATTTGCTTAGTGAGAGGTTCCTGTTTGTCCCCTCGTGCGGAGGCACTGGAGTGTCCGTGGACTTGTTAACCTCGCCTTCATCTCAGGTGGTTGAAAAAGACAGGGCTGTGAAAATCCCTAAGAGTCATTTGATATGCAGGATCAACAAAAAGATGAGAATTGCTGGAAAACTGTCTGTCTTGTCAAAATATTTTGCAGTGCAGGATGGAGTACCCCTTTTCACCTGCGTCGTCTGCAGATAAGCTGTAATGAATGCAGTTGACAACTGAGCGCGAGTTCTGTTGAGAGTGTGCACGCTGGAAGAGAGAGGTCAAGCTGGAGCCGGCTTAAGGTAAAAAGTGTAATTTTATAGTACGGTACCACTGGTATTCTGCAACAGATTAATCTTTCTGTGATGGTTTAGGGCCTCGTTACAATTTCCCTGTTAGAGCCATTGGATTTCACTTTTGTCTGCGGCATGGACAAGTCATTTTATTTCTTTTTCTGTGGCACTGGTTGCGACATAATAGAAGTTAGCGCGATGGTTTTGGAATATAAACCTTACAAAGCATTTAGGACTTCATGATCAGGGTGAATTTTATTTTAGCTCTGTTTTAAATTCTTCTTTACAGGTGTGAACAAAGGTGGCCCCTGGGCTGAAGCTTCACAAAGGAAGGTTTGGTCTGGAATTTGTTTTCGTGGCAGAGGTGAAGACCTTTGGAAAAGAACTTTTATTGTGGAAACAAAGTTTCTATAAGTATTAACTAAACCAGCATAATATTTAAAACAAAAAGTTTCTGAGGATACAGAGACACTTTCTCTTTTTCTTTTGTTTTCTCGGCAGAAGGAATGTGTTGTGTGTTCTAATTATATAAAGTTGTATAAAATGTTCCCCTCCAAACTATTGGGGGAAACTTACTCGAAGTTTAAAACCAAAATTAAACGTTTAAACCTGTTGGTTTCCCCTCTGCCCCATTCATGTGCACACTGTTTGTCTTGCAAGGGTTTAAAAGTCTTGAGAACTGTTGGGAGAACTAAAAATGAGCGGAAATGTTCCATAGGCCAAATATCTAAGCGTCCTATCACAACGGTAAATAAACTTTAAAGAACATCTTTGCAGAGTACAGCTTTTCTTAAACAAACAGCAACAGAAAAAAGATCTGGTCACTGGACTGACTAATAACCTTTAGGGTACCAAAAAAAAAGTAAATTGGCTTTAAAAATGGCTATGATTATGCCATTTAAACTGAGGGTCTGGTTTTGTTCTCTTCATAATAGCGGAAGGAACTGTTGTTACGTTTTGGTGAAGCAATATTAAGTCTTAGTTGGGGAATTTTTAATAAGCGTTTCTATGAATAAAGCTGTCAAGTGTCTGTTATAGATGTCATTGCTTAGAAATACTGCGTAGGGACGTGGTGTATGGAATCCTGTCTGGTCAGAGTCCTTAACAGAGTGGAGCAGCAAGAGTGGTCTGAGCCCTGCTTGCGATGGTGGGAAACTGCTCTGTAGGATCCCTGGTCAGTCTCCCGTTGGAAGCTCAAAATACTCGCCGTTCTTGTCTGTATGTTCTGGTTTTTTAAAGCTCAAGTACAAAGAAGTTAATATTGTGAGTAATTGCTGTAATCGCTACAGTTAATGTTTGATTTTTGTACACGGTTCACGTATTTGTCCAATTTCTTCATTGCTCAAAGTCATCTGTTGTTTCCTTTTCATATAGTTAACTCTTAAATATGGGTTTGCCTGTTGAAGCCGATCGTATGTCAGAATCCTGGGCCAAAATGAAAATAGAAAAAAACTATAGAAACCTTTCAGTTATCGCTGAGCCTGAGTTAGGTTTTCATGTGCTTCTGTATGATTATCTTTCAGGTGTTTTCTGATTGAGCTTTAATGTGACTGCAGTTTGGCCAATTAGGTGTTTTCATCCACAGTTTACATTTTGTTATGGATGGTTCTCCACTTTTCTTTTTTGTCCTTTTTTTTTTTTTTTATTAAAATCTCTTTTTTTTAACGTGAATACTGCAGCCTTATATTAACACAAGTTTCATGCGAAGGGCTCCTGTACGTTAAGCATATGTATCATGTGCGAAATCCTGCTGTGTTCCATGTCTGTAAAATTGCTGGGTAGCTGAGCATTTGCTGAAATGAGCTGCTGATTGTTTGTTTGGGGTTTTTTTTTTGTGGCTTATAATACTCCTTTGTAGATCTGCTGGTATCTTGTTTGTCCCTGCTGCATCTAGACAATGCATTCCTTCATGTTTTGTGTAACTTCTTCAGTTGTTTCCGTGTGTGTAGATATGGTAACTGGAAAGAGAAAATTCTGTTCTTAAATTGTCCCTCTTCCTGCCCTTAACTTCCCCACACCCCAGCGTAGCTGGAGTGTTGGTCATTAAGGGGAATTTAGAACAGTATTGATTGCTGGTATCCAGGAATTCTGGGGAAAAGGGTCAAAAACCAGCATTGGGAAATTAGATAAATTTTCTGACAACACAAATTTACGCTTCGAGACCCTTAAAATCAATAGGGGGGTGCTACAGGCAGAATAAAAAAAGAAAGGAGAAGAGCTCAAGACCTTGAATGAATAAGCTCTGGAGCTTACTACCGTT